TGGACAAGCAACTGAGCCAACCCAAGATCCATATGAAGGCACTGGACAAGTACCTGAACCAAGCCCAGAGCCATCTGAAGGCGCTGGAGAACCTGAGCCAACCCAAGATCCATATGAAGGCACTGGACAAGTACCTGATCACAGCCAAGAGCCATCTGAAGGCGCTGGAGAACCTGAGCCAACCCAAGATCCATATGAGGGCACTGGACAAATACCTGATTACAGCCAAGATCCATCCGAAGGCACCGAACAAGCAACTGAGCCAACCCAAGATCCATATGAGGGCACTGGACAAATACCTGATTACAGCCAAGATCCATCCGAAGGCACCGAACAAGCAACTGAGCCTACCCAAGATCCATATGAAGGCACTGGACAAGTACCTGATTACAGCCAAGATCCATCCGAAGGCACTGAACAAGCACCTGAGCCTAACCCAAGATCCATATGAGGGCACTGGACAAGTACCTGATTACAGCCAAGATCCATCCGAAGGCACCGAACAAGCAACTGAGCCTACCCAAGATCCATATGAAGGCACTGGACAAATACCTGATTACAGCCAAGATCCATCCGAAGGCACCGAACAAGCAACTGAGCCAACCCAAGATCCATATGAGGGCACTGGACAAGTACCTGATTCGGGCCCAAAGCTATATTGAGCAAGTGGCAACACTGAGAGCAGTTTCCCCTCATGAAGAAAAGCCATAACTTTGGATCACCATTTCACATGCCATGTTCTTTCCATATGTTTTTCCCAGAGTAAATGTAATAGCACACAAGTGTTTCACAGTAAAACACTTCTAATTGTTCGGCAAAGCAGAATTGTCCACTACCATCGAATTGTTCCCCACTTACAACTATGTGGGAGTACAAGAAACTTTCAAAAACTTTAAACTTCAGGAAATTTGAACCATCGGTTCGGAGGAATAAGGTGTAAAAGCCTAGGGAACCCATCACGAAATGCAAGTCAAGAGGGTTTGTTATAAAAAACTTGAATAAAAAAGGATAAAGCTCTCGCTATCGTCATTCCTGGGGCATGCAGCACGCGTTCTACTGCCATTCAGGATCCTAGTGGTTTAGTGACGGGCGATGTGGTCTACAATGAGTCGCGGGGGCCAGCCGTCGTCGATGTCCGAGTTCTTACCCTCCCATAAGGTTCTGGTACCACTTTACAGCCCCGGGGAGTAAAAGGCTTGGTGGCCTGGCTGGAGTCGACCCGGGGTTTGAGCACAGGATCGCGCGAGTAGAAACCGCGCCACTCGTCACTTCACTACCTGCGTCTCATATACATTTATTCAGAAAAAAAAGCAAAATTGTAAAAATCACTTCGATGTCGCGACATCGCGTGAAGGAGTTGTTGACTGAGCAGGAGCGTTCATTCCTTGCTTAGTTGCATGTTGGTCGCATGTTTCCCGTGCTTCTTCTCTTTCTTCTCTTCACTGGAGTCAGAAGAATCCGAAGAACTGCTGTCTTTTTTATGGTGCTGAAAAACGAGCGTATATTCTAGTTCGCTGCTGTAAAGGGACGACTACCGCTAGCACGAGTGCGACTTTCATGAATGTTATCAGTCGAGGTCGCGCTATCATTTTATACCCCCAGAAAAAGTTCTCTAGTTTACAAATATGGCTCGTGTGTCTCATTTCAATGACAGAACTGCTCATTACAACACGCTATGATGTGATGACCTTGTCATCCCAGGACTTCATTAACAATGCTTCCCTCTGAAATAACAGGTCATTGAGTTTTCAATCTTTGAACCTTCTGGAACAACATGAGTCTTTTCAATTTTTGAAACTGCCCTCGTTTCCGTAGAGGTTTCTAGGTTGAATCTCCGTTCTCACCATTCCATGATTTTCGAGCTGTTGTGAGTCAAATGTATGTTCTAGCACTTTAATTGCTTCTCCTTCCATTTCCAGCCCGGTATTATTCGTGCCCCCAGCTCCGCATCAGGAATACCACCAAGGCTCCGAAGTTTACATTATGATTTGCGTTTACGGCCATTATCGCGTCGTGCCAGTAACCGCAGTGATAGATACGGCTGCACTTGTGCATTTATATAACCATGTAGGAACGTTTCACATTAATTCGCGGCAGTGGGTTGGCGTACTGCACGTTGCTTAGGCGCTATAATGACGCCCCTAGTAGGAAGAGGCGCCACACACCCCTGGTCGGAATCATAGTATTCTTCCGTGCTAAGCGTATTCACCCTACTGGCCTTGTCGATTTATCATGCCACTTGTGGCACATGAATCCCCAAGTACAGAATTTTGTGGCACATGAATCTGAAGAGGAGCTGCGTGGTGCCTTTTCCAAGAAACGTGCCCCATAACGCCCTATCAAGCTGAGCATTCCGAAAGGGACGCCCTTCGCTCCCATGTCGGAATGTTTACGCTCACAAATGTTCGACTGATGCTGATGCTCGTATCGCTTCATATGCGAAGTAGAACATCAAGCGGAGGGATTGATATGAAGTAGCCGCGGTGTTGGATGGAATATATGTACAGGGGGGCCAAAAAAAGTCATTTTGCCTCCATGACTTTCAAGGCGCTATAAGTTACACTTTATTAAATTTTTATCGGACATTTTTAC